ATAAAATCAGGGTTAACTCTCATTGAAAACCCGAGAGCAAGAAAAAGGAATATTGGGTAAGTACTTTGTTTCTTGTTATTCAAATTTATTCTTTATTTATAATTATAATAAAAGTAACTAAAATAAAAAAATATGGATCTTTTTAAGTTATTTAAGACTAGATTAGGTAAAATTAGTAATAATAATAATATAACATAATTAAAATGGTTCATGAGGAATGCAAGCGAGCAGTTCGTGGGTAATGTAATTCGATAGCATAATATATGATTTGCACATTCTCTGAGTGATTTACAACTTATTATGGTGCGGATAGTAATTAGTCAAGGTTCAAAGGGCAGTAAAACAATAAAATTTAATTATAAATAGATGTATACTGTTACAAACTTAGAGCTACTTAGAATAAACGAATATAGTTTCATGTTATAATATGAATTAAAAGACTGCCAAATTTTGTGAAGATATACACACTATATTGAAAGTTAGAAGTATTAAATCTATAAAGACTTTTAATTGAGTACAAAGAGATTACATAGTGGGTCAAATTGACCTAGCCTGTGTTGAGAGAGTTAACAAACTACTAGGTGAAGAACAGGGAAGGAAGGGTAGAAAGGACAGAAACCAAAGTGAAGATACCAAAGTCAGAAGTATACTAACATCACTAGAAGGTCTCATGGATTGGGAAGGAAGGTTGTAAAACATGGAGTCAGACCATGGGCTGAGACAATGGACAAGATAAAACCATGTGTGAAGATAGAGAGTGGTGACATCTGTGGAATGATGGACCACTTTGTGATGAGAATCTTGTTGGAAGATGATCAAACCACCACCAGATGGAAGGAGCCAGGAAAAAGGCAAGTGAAGACCACATTGTGATGACAGTGGGCTTAAAAAGATACCTAGTTTCTGAAAGCAGAGAGACTCGGTACCCACTAGCTCAGTAAAATGAGTGACCACAGTGGAGAGGTGAGAATGTACTATCACCACCACCCTCCCATAGGAGAGGAAGGAGGTGGGACAAGGCTTAATGAACCACCAAAAGCACAAGACAGTTGATATGGATAGACTCCTTGATTGAGCAGAGACCAGAAATCTCTTGGGAGTTAAGGTAAGAACCTCAGCCTCATAAAAAGAAGTGTGGGAACAGACGTAAATCAATGTGAGGCAGAGTAAGTAGCACCCCAACCAAACCAAGTATCAAAAGAGAATTTCTGCAGATCAAGGAGTATTCACTGAAGGGAAAACATACGAGTCCAACTCATGGAAATGAGAGCTTCCAAAGATATAAAACATATCAAGCCATAAAAAGGTGAGGGACATGTGAATTGCTTGTTCTAAACCCGAAGACAAAGAGAAGGTTTAGCCCAACTGAAGTTCGAAAAAAGAACCCCCCAAAAGTATAGGGTATTGACAGGAATTCAGAATGGACTTCCTCCTTGTTATAAGGAAACTAACCTGTTCTGATCTTGTAGGAGTAGAGGAGTGTGGATTCTGGACTAAGAACAGGAAGATGCAAACTGAGCCAGTCAAAAAAGAGAAGGAAGAATGCAAGACTCCTGGAGTGAAAAAGTCAGGCAAAAATTTTATTACCCAATTAACAAAGTACTTATATATGAAATGGACAAACTATCTAAATGTACCCAGTCTAAAAAGTATGTAATAAAATCATATGTGTGAACAGAGGAAAATTATTGAGAAAACACACAAATAAGCAATATCCAACATACCATTCCACAAAATTAACTGAGATGAAAAAAGACGTAATGAAGTCTGATACTAACATAAATGGGGATGAGAAGGCACACAGCTAACAACTATGTTAAAAAATAACAAAAACAAATAGAATAATGAATTATATGTTACTGAAAGATGTGAAGGCCAGCAATTGGGGGAAGGTGCCTGAAAAAAGAAGAGACCAAAGTGACAATTCAATGAGTATCTTCTTCCTCAGAAATAGTGTCACATTGAAAATAATAAGAAAATGCCAGTCAAATGTAAGACTCTAACTCCCTCCAAACCAAGGCATGTACTTCAACAGCAAAGTTGACCCCTGTCCTAGGAAGTCGTGCCATGTGGATTGTCGTCTGTCACAGTAATATCATTATCTGACACAGGAAACCTCAAATACATACTAAAACATGTATAATTCAGGAAGGAGAAGATTTTGAATGCAAGATTATGGAAACAAATAAAATCAAACACAAAAATTAGAAATTGTTGAATAAACTTTGTTGGCAATGGCAACAAAGCACAATCAACAACTCTAGTCACACTCAGAATAATTAAATACATGTCTAAACTGTGTCATGCCAATCGAGAAAGTGAGGATTGAGCAGGAATAGCAGAGAGAACTAGTTGTGCCATTATAGGTGGCACAATACTGTTGGTGGAAAGTAGTCACATGATATATGCATGTTAAGAAATTGCACAAAACTGGTGTGGTATAAAGACAAGTGATCTATGTATAAATAAATTATTTTAGCAATTCATAGACGGCAGTCAACAATCAAAATAGCTTTGTGTGAGAGAGAGGTAAGTCCATTTTAGAAGTAAAGGTTAACAGCAGGTGCTGCCAGGCAGTTGCCTCTAGTTAGAGATTAAAAATTAGTAATAGTGGCAAACAGCTTAAGTAGCTTTGCCATAACAAAGGTAGGATGAGCAAGTTTGGTGGCAATATTTCAATTATTGGATAGTTGGAATAATCAAATATAGTAATAATCAGAAATACTGATTTTGATTAGCTGAGTATTTTCGTGACAACCAATATTTCAATGAATCCATTAGTTTATGTGACACTAATCAATGTAATCCTGTTCATGGGTAATCAAAGTGCCAAGCTCTAAGTAATATAAATGCCAAATCTGATTTCAGACTGCTGTATGTTACTAAAGTTTGTTTTTTGCCATTAAACATAATGTTACACAATGAGCTATCTGTGCTGTGTCTATCACAAGTATCAAAACCCAATTTTTAGTGTTATAAGCCTTCAGACTTACCATTGAGCTACTGGGGGACTGTTACTAACATACAATATAGTAAGATGGATATAAAATATATTTATATATATATGCTTCTTAAGAGTAAGTTATGAAACAAATTATTGTTTCATTCTTTACAAAAACATGGAAAATAATAATTTAACAATCTCAAATTTCTTCTATTTATAAATCTGATATTTTTTAAACTGTTTAAAGTTTATAGCTAAAAAAAGAAAACCTTATTCACTGAAGCTTCAAGATGATACAAAAGTTATTTAACAAAAGCATTTTCATTTTTTAAACATATTAAATCTTCTTAGTTAAGTATAGAATGCTCAACAAACAACAAACACTGAGACACATATAGAAAGTAATCATCTTTTTGAAGTTCTCAATAAATATATCAATAAACTATATATATATATAAGGCCTTGCATTTTCAGCTTAAACTTATTTTTATCAGAAAAATACCAGGTTTTGTTAAAGAGTATTATTAATTTTTTCTGATTTTCACACTACTTTTATATCATTCAAATACATCAAAAATAGCTTGTTTTATTAGGAAAATACATTACATGAAATATACATATAGTTAACACATTATGTAAATGTAAATATTTACTGGCTAATAGTTCTAAGTCTACAGCAGCAAACTGTTTATTCAAATGAAAAGTTAGATTTGTGGATTAGAGATATATTGTTTCCTTAAACTCAGAGGTGGCATTATGTTTCAAGTTGTTTTAGATCTGCAGCAAATCACAATGAATTCCATTAATCAAAGCACTAATCTAGTGAATACTTTTCCCCTGTCCTTTTGATCAGTAAAATAAATCACACTATTTACCCAGAAAATTATTAATAGTTTTTCTGTACTGATTTTAATCTGTTTTTGTAGTAATAAACACCAATAAAATCCCAGTAAAAATTAAATAACAAAAACTTAAATCAGAGGGCCCTGTAAATACAGTATTCTCAAATTTTAACCACAGTGACAAAACAAAACAATGGAATTAGAAATGTTTCTCTAGCTCTAGTAAATAGAACATTTTAATTATTTCTGAATGATAATAAAGCTCCTTAAGTAAATAAACAGGTACACCTACTTTCACCCAACTCCTTTGAATGCAGGCTTTTTTCCAGAACTGTGTCAAAATCTTTTGTCATCAGAACCAAAGTACCTTGAGCTGAAAACAGATTTAATTTCTCAATTATTCTGACAAAAACGTGAAAGTATTTTGTGTTAAAAAACTAAAAACAATAATCAACAATGCTGAACATACAGAAAACATAAGTAAAACCTTTTACAGGTTATTTTTTTTATTCTTTACAGACCACCAAACTAAAAAAAAACAGTATCAGTACAATGACAAAGAACTATCTATCAGTACAATGATAAATAACTATCTATCAGTACAATGATAAATAACTATCTATTAGTACAATGATAAAGAACTATTATCAGTATAATGATAAAGAACTACCTATCAGTATAATGATAAAGAACCATCTATCAGTACAATGATAAAGAACCATCTATCAGTACAATGATAAA